CTCGGAACGAAACTGAACGAAAAAGGTATTGGGTTCGGAAACACCAAATTTGAATTGAACTGGAACGTGGCAGAATAAGGTGGGGAGATCGATTCTGGCAAGCGAGTGACTAGGGAGTAAATATTGATGATGGAGCTAGAGAGCGCTAGATTAGGACTGCGGTACTGTTCTTCCAGGATCTGAGCATACCGGTTCTTTCCAGTTCCCTTATCATTTCAGAGAGAGAACTGCGATGCTCGTGAAGGTGCAATGGATCCAGCCGCTTTTCCATACAATAACGATACAGCAGAATCAGACTTGTACAAGGGTGGCATATTTCTTGGTTGCGAGTTTGGCATGGTTGCTTTGTACGTTTGGGCAGTGGGTATTTGGGCAGCCGGGCAGAGTTCTACAATGACCGGCACGTATGCTGGGCAGTTTGTCATGGAGGTAGGTTGTTTTGTCCCAAATGAAAAATTTCCCATCATTTTGATGATCACACTCTTAATAGTGTGACCCGTATGGGCGCTCAGGAGAATGGACGCATCACTTCATTTTTCCGCGGAGCACTTGATGGCTTAGTAATTAAAAAGTGGCACAGACTGATGTGCAAAAAAAAAGCTGCTTTTTTTTTCAAAGAAAATACACCAGCATCACTAACGCCAAATCGTCACACCGATTTTTTGAGCGACATTGGTCGGCAAGTGGTCCTAACAGATGTCGCCACTACTAACTGTTAGGGAAAAAAGCCATTGTAAGATTGCTTTGGTCGCGCAAACGATTTGATTTCATTGTATGAAGAATGTGATATCAATGTTTGCAGGGTTTTTTACAAATTCGATGGTCTCGCTGGAAGCGTGTTCTAGTGACCCGAGCAATCGCTATTGTACCAACTCTGGCTGTTGCACTGCGCATTAACGGTGTCCGGGACCTGACTGGAATGAACGATTTACTAAACTGTGTACAGATGGTCCAGCTCCCATTTGCACTCATCCCAATCATAACATTCACATCTAGTCCGAAAGTCATGCTCGATTTTCGTAGTTCTAGGTACTTCTGCACACTCACTTTTTATGCGTTTTTGCATATGTACAAATGCAAGAGCGCATATTGACAAGAGGCTGTATGTGTGAGTGTTTGTGTGTGTGTGTGTGTGCCTGTGTGCGCGCATTTTTTGTTTCCCACTTTCAACTCGAGACCAGAAAAGCTGGAAGGCTGAAACTTCGGGAATATGTGCCCGCACCATGTACGATTCTCCCATTTTAATTTCATTCACGCTGCTGGGTCCCACATACGGACGTCTTAAAAAAATACGCAATTTTTTTGGCGGAAAAGCGATCTTGGGAACCAGACAAAATATGGGGCTGAGACTTTGCAGGGATATTCGCTATGCTTGTGCGGAGTTACATATTTCAAATTCAGCCCCTAGTTCGGGGTTCTCGCTTACGGGCTCGTGAAAATTTTGTCGGGAAAATTGCTAACTCGGCAATCGGAAGAGCTAAAAGGCTGAAATTTTAGGATAATGTTCCCTGTCCAAGTATAACTTAAATATTTCAAACTGTCCTTCAGATATGGATGTTTCTCGTGTACGGACAATTAAAAGTTTTGACAAGAAATTGCTCACTGAACAGCTAGATCATTTTTAAAAATTAGCCGTTGAGCGGAAATTGATCATTTCATTTATGCAAAATTTACGGTGGTTTACGCTACTAAACCATTCATGCAGTTAAAGACCTGAGTACTTTAAGTTTGATGCAAAAACGCATGACCGCACCGGCAAACCTGGCGCAGTCCAGTCTGGGTTATTGATAAGTTGGACCAACAGAGTTACGGGTGGCGGGTTCTCAAAAGAAAAATCCTTCCTCAAAAAGCCAGCACAGTGAGGTTTAACTACCGAGGCGTGATGCACCTTAGATATACTGTAGTGGGTGACAACGCTAGATATGCTGAATATTCGCAGGATGCAAGCAGATATAGTACGGTGAGGTACCTCTGAAGATCATGTGACAGTGAAAAAAATGGGAGTTCAAAGCTTTCTTTTATCAAGGACAAGTTAGCGGAATTATGAGTAATTTCCTAAATTTCAGTGTAAAATAAAATGCTTCTCTTTTTGCGTATATGATTCACTGCTTTTTCTTCCGATCCAGCTAAAGTTCTCTTAGCTAAAAATTCCTGCACTGCTTATGAATTACGATAGCATCTA